CAGAGAAGTTAATTAACCTGGTGACATGGTGACATGGTGAAACCTTCAGTATTCAAAAATAATTCATAAGTGCCTTCCTCATTAATCTGCTGTGTTGTCAAAATGTCATGTTGTCTCATTTTTTCAGAGAAGTTAATTGACCTGGTGACATTGTGACATGGTGACACCTTCAGTTATTCAAAAATAATTCATAAGTGCCTTCCTCTTAATCTGCTGTGTTGTCAAAATGTCATGTTGTCTCATTTTTTCAGAGAGAGTTAATTAACCTGGTGACATGGTGACATGGTGACACCTTCAGTTATTCAAAAATAATTCATAACCTTCCTCATTATCTGCTGTGTTGTCAAATGTCATGTTGTCTCATTTTTTCAGAGAAGTTAATTAACCTGGTGACATTGTGACATGGTGACACCTTCAGTTATTCAAAAATAATTCATAAGTCCTTCCTCATTAATCCTGCTGTTGTCAAAATGTCATGTTGTCTCATTTTTTCAGAGAAGTTAATTAACCTGGTGACATGGTACATGGTGACAACCTTCAGTTTTCAAAAATAATTCATAAGTGCCTTCCTCATTAATCCTGCTGTGTTGTCAAAATGTCATGTTGTCTCATTTTTTCAGAGAAGTTAATTTAACCTGGTGACATGGTGACATGGTACACCTTCAGTTTTCAAAAATAATTCATAATGCCTTCCTCATAATCTGCTGTGTTGTCAAAATGTCATTTGTCTCATTTTTTCAGAGAAGTTAATTAACCTGGTGACATTGGTGACATGGTGACACCTTCAGTTTTCAAAAATAATTCATAAGTGCCTTCTCATTATCCTGCTGATGTTGTCAAAATGTCATGTTGTCTCATTTTTTCAGAGAAGTTAATTAACCTGGTGAGCATGGTGACATGGTGACACCTTCAGTTATTCAAAAATAATTCATAAGTCCTTCCATTAATCCTGCTGTGTTGTCAAAATGTCATGTTGTCTCATTTTTTCAGAGAAGTTAATTAACCTGGTGACATGGTGACATGGAACCTTCAGTTATTCAAAAATAATTCATAAGTGCCTTCCTTCATTAATCCTGCTGTGTTGTCAAAATGTCATGTTGTCTCATTTTTTCAGAGAAGTTAATTACCTGGTGACATAGGTACATGGTGACACTTCAGTTATTCAAAAATAATTCATAATGCTTCCTCATTATCCTGCTGTGTTGTCAAAATGTCATGTTGTCTCATTTTTTCAGAGAAGTTAATTAACCTGTGACATGGTGACATGGTGACACCTTCAGTTATTCAAAAATAATTCATAAGTCCTTCCTCATTATCTGCTGTGTTGTCAAAATGTCATGTTGTCTCATTTTTTCAGAGAAGTTAATTAACCTGGTGACATGGTGACATGGTGACACCTTCAGTTTTTCAAAAATAATTCATAAGTGCTTCCTCATTATCCTGCTGATGTTGTCAAAATGTCATGTTGTCTCATTTTTCAGAGAAGTTAATTAACCTGGTGATGGTGACATGGGTGACACCTTCAGTTATTCAAAAATAATTCATAATGCCTTCCTCATTAATCTGCTGTGTTGTCAAATATTCATGTTGTCTCATTTTTCAGAGAAGTTAATTGACCTGGTACATGTGACATGTGACACCTTCAGTTTTCAAAAATAATTCATAAGTCCTTCCTCATTAATCCTGCTGTGTTGTCAAAATGTCATGTTGTCTCATTTTTTCAGAGAAGTTAATTAACCTGGTGACATGGTGACATGTGACACCTTCAGTATTCAAAATAATTCATAAGTGCCTTCCTTCATTAATCTGCTGTGTTGTCAAAATGTCATGTTGTCTCATTTTTTCAGAGAAGTTAATTAACCTGGTGACATGTGACATGGTGACACCTTCAGTTATTCAAAAATAATTCATAATCCTTCCTCATTAACTGCTGTGTTGTCAAAATGTCATGTTGTCTCATTTTTTCAGAGAAGTTAATTAACCTGGTGACATGGTGACATGGTGAACACCTTCAGTTATTCAAAAATAATTCATAAGTCTTCTCATTAATCCTGCTGTGTTGTCAAAATGTCATGTTGTCTCATTTTTTCAGAGAAGTTAATTACCTGGTGACATGGTGACATGTGACACCTTCAGTTATTCAAAAATAATTCATAAGTCTTCCTCATTAATCCTGCTGTGTGTCAAAATGTCATGTTGTCTCATTTTTCAGAGAAGTTAATTAACCTGGTGACATGTGACATGTACACCTTCAGTTATTCAAAATAATTCATAAATGCCTTCCTCATTATCCTGCTGTGTTGTCAAAATGTCATGTTGTCTCATTTTTTCAGAGAAGTTAATAACCTGGTGACATGTGACATGGTGACACCTTCAGTTATTCAAAAATAATTCATAAGTGCCTTCCTCATTAATCCTGCTGTGTTGTCAAAATGTCATGTGTCTCATTTTTTCAAGAAGTTAATTAACTGGTGACATGTGACATGGTGACACTTCAGTTATTTCAAAAATAATTCATAAGTGCCTTCTCATTATCCTGCTGTGTTGTCAAAATGTCATGTGTTGTTCATTTTTTCAGAGAAGTTAATTAACTGGTGGACATGGTACATGGTGACACCTTCAGTTATTCAAAAAATAATCATGAAGCTGCCTCTCATTAATCCGTCTGTTTGTCAAGTCATGTTGCTCATGTTTTCAGGAGTATCTCTCTCACAGTCCAAAAATATTTTAGATGTGAAAACTGCTTTGACAATATTCGTTGACAAATACCATCCAACAAAACTGACATCTGACTGTGAAAGTTCTTTCAAATCAGACGATATTAAAAACTATCTGCGTTCAAAAAATGTAAACCAATATTTCATTGTCGACCAAAACCATTCTGCTCTTGGTGTCATTGACAGTTGTATAAAAATCTTAAGAGACTTAAACAACCACAAGGTGGTGAAGCAAATGAAATGTCATATGACGACAAATATAGACACTTCTCCATGGCAAAGATGAGACAAGTTTTAAATATTTACAATAGCCGTAAACAAAAAGGTTTGGGAAACCACTCCCCCGAAGAAATGAAAAACAACCCTGACTTAGAGAAAGACTATATATTTAATAGTTTAGTCAAAAGAGACAAACAAGAAAGAATGCCAGGCTTCAAACTTAAGAAAGGTGACAAAGTAAAAATAGAAATACCTAAACGCGACCCATATGAAAATACTATTGACTATGACAACAATGGGAACTCGACAGGTACTCATTCGTGTTCGTAAAAATAGAAGAAAGTATACAAGAGAATATTATGAAGTTTTAGGCAAACATGGCAAAATGTACACACTGCAAGCAGAAGATAAAACTACTATTGTCAGACCTCGTTTCAAACTTGTCAAAGTTCAAGGTGGTATACTTTCAAAGACAGTTCCTAACAAATATAAGACAACTCCTGACGAATATGCTAAAGAAGTTGAAAATGACGACTAAGCAATTCTATACCATGCGTAAACTGTCATGTAAGGTGGCATGTAGTCTTTACTTTGTCCCGTTGTTTGCGTATACCTGAAACGCGATGTGTATGGTTTCCTCCTCCTCAGTGTTACTCCAGTAACAATTTATAGCAAACTTAACGTCGTCTTTAACATCATATCCTTTACCTTTTGTCATTCCTGACCAATCCCAAATCTATGCTTATGCAAACCTGCTTCAGATGTAGTTAAACTTACGTAGTGACTGTGCGCAGGTAAATTTGCACCTGAAATCGTTTTACTTCCACCTGTTTCCTTTGAAGAGTTTGCACAATACAAAAACCTGTCGACTATTTGAGTCCAAGTTCCAAAACCAAGTACTACTTCTGGTCTGGTAGAGTTCATTGACGTATAAATAGAGCCAACCGGGTAAATAAGATTCGGCAAAATTTGTTTAAGCACATTGAGTTCCTGTCTTAGATGTATAATACTATTGTCATTAGATATCAAAGTATCTACAAGACTTGTTGCCGGTGGTATTGTTGGAGCTTTACTTGGCAAGGTTGTGTTTAGTGTAATATCATCTGCTGTAAAAGTTGTAAAACTTGTATGTGTATGTCCAACGTCACTTTTCCTGTTTAAGGTTTCTTGTAAGTTTGTAATATTTGCAATGGTATGTGTATGTCCAACGTCACTTTTCCTGTTTAAGGTTTCTTGTAAGTTTGTAATATTTGCAATGGTATGTGTATGGTTCTTGTCAGCTTTGCCATCTAACTTTTCTTGTAAGTTTGTAATATTTGCAATGGTATGTGTATGAGTCTTTTTAGAATATTCTTTGTCAGCTCTTGTCACTTCACTTGACATTTTATTGTCAACATATGTTTTGTCTGCTAGTTCAGGATGAGTATGTTCTTTTGTTGCATATGTTGCATCTGCTCTGTCATGTTCTTCTTGAACTTTTTCAATGACATACTCTTTGTCAGCTTTGTTGTCAACATCTGCTTTTGTTGCATATGTTGCATCTGCTCTGTCATGTTCTTCTTGAACTTTTTCAATGACATACTCTTTGTCAGCTTTGTTGTCAACATCTGCTTTTGTTGCATATGTTGCATCTGCTCTGTCATGTTCTTCTTGAACTTTTTCAATGACATACTCTTTGTCAGCTTTGTTGTCAACATCCTCTTTTGTTGCATATGTTGCATCTGCTCTGTCATGTTCTTCTTGAACTTTTTCAATGACATACTCTTTGTCAGCTTTGTTGTCAATATCTGCCTTCAAAAGAAGTTCATCTATAGGTTTCTCGTTTAAAGTTCTTTTTGTTGGATTTATACAGACAGTATGGTTCTTATTGTCTTGAAACAGAAACTCATCTGTCATTGGGTTTAATGTCAGTTTTAAGTTTCCTTCTTTCAATGACTCAGATATCTTAGAATAGTTTGAAAAGTTTGTTGTGTTCTTATTTAGAGCTTGCATAATGAGTTGTCGGTTGTGTTGTATTTCTCTCATAGACGCTGTTTCATTTGACATTTTTATTCTAGATAAAATATGCTTCCAATAGAAAAAGAAAATTCAAGAGTTGCTACAACTAAACCATTAGATGAACTTTTTACTAATGTCGGTCAAAAGTTTGAGACAGAGACCGTAAAGCATGAAGGCTATCGTTTTGACTACCCATTAAGATGGCTAAGAGACCCATCTGTCACAAAAGCTATTGGCTTTCGTAGAATGAAGTTTGTGTCTGTAGAAGATAAAAGTTTTCCATTTATTGTAAGGTTTCATATAGATTATATATCTGAAGGGAAACGAAAAATGTGGGAAGAAATTGAGCTAATACAAGTTGACCTTTCATCTTCTCTACAGACTGCGTTAAAAAATATAGAAGATAAAATAAATTCATGTTATGCAAAATATGCTGATGAATATGCAAATACCGAGAGCACACTTTATGTGAGAATTGTATATGACAAACAAAATTCACAAGTGTCATTTCAAATCTACGAAGACAATCCAAAGAAAGACGAACAAATATATACAGAATTCACTGCAATGTCATGGTATTATTTGCAAAGAATGTTAAATCAGAAAGTCGAACTTCCTTTAGCAAATATTTACAGTCGATATGCAAGAGATGAACCATATTTATTTAAAGATGTTTTCGACCCAGCTGCTATTATTGTTCATGCTTCATTTTCTGGCGCCCAAAACTCTTTCTTATGCTTGGCAAATGACTTTTACGAAAAACCTACAAAGTTATACGAACCACCAAGTGGAAGTATTTCGGATTTTCAAGTATGGTTTACTACAGATGGAAGAAAAAGAATAATTCCATTATACCATGCGTTTTACTTAGAACTTAGTTTCATATACAACTACTATCGAACGGTAAAAATATAATTTTTTAATACGGTTGAGGTGTTGGATTTGGTTGCCAACTAGACTGTGGTGCAGGTTCAGGCTGTTGTATAACAGGAGCTTGTTCTTCTGGTTCAGGGTCTTTAGGTATAATACCAACAAACTGACCTACTCTTTTACCAATATTTTTGACTCCGTTCCAAATTCCTCTTCCTACGGTTTTTATTCCATTCCATATACCTCTTCCAACATTTCGAAAGAAGTTTCCAATACTACTGAAGAAACCCATTTTACTATATGTAAAAATCTAATGTCCGCCTAGTCTCTTACGTTTCCTTCTGAGTTCCATAGCATTCTTTAACTGGAGCTCATACATTCTGTTTCTCCTCTGGTAGAAAACATATTCTGGGTCAACTCCTGTGTTCGCGTCATCTGCATAAAGTTGTTTGTATCCCACTTCAGGGTTTGTATAAAACTCTTTCCATCTCATATTTGCATACCATGGTGGCAAACCTAACGCAGCGTCATTTGACATGGCAGTTTGCATTTGTACATCTGTTGGCACTTGACCATAGTTTGCCATTGCAGTTTGTATTCTAACTTCATTTGGAATATTCTCTGGGTTTGGTTGTCCAGGTTGCTGTGCATTCGCTAAGTTCTGTGCGTCCATTTAATATTAGATAAAAATATCTCTTACGAGTACATATGCTGAACATTTGCAGGTATTGGTTCATCTTCATATTCTCTATATCTTTCTGCCACGTCAAATAAGTAAATGACACAATGGAAAAAACCTAAAACAAGTAGTCCTATTTCAAACCACATTTACTTACCAATAAAATTTCTTTGTTATGACACTTTCTCCAGTTTATAGGACCTCTCTCATATTCTATCTTATCGTATCTAAACTCATAGTCATGTATGTCCTCTAACCATCTCATGACACTTTCCAAACCACTTTTATCGGATGTAAAGTAAAAGCATGGATGGTTATGTAAAACGTCTAAAGTTTCTAAAGAGTCTCTCAAAGTCCAGTCTACTTGGTATTGAAAATCCCATGTGTTAAAGAACGGCGGGTCCACTATAAAGAAAACATTTTCCTTGTCTTTATATTTTTCATACAACTCTGTCCAATGACATCTCACAAACTCTATACCCTCAATATATTTTTCTATGTCCTCTTTGAAAACATTTGTATAGTTAAGATATAAAACTTTTGACATAAGTGTTTCAATGTCATGAACTCTTATAGCACCACTATATAATAGTCTAGCAGATATACTATCCCAGTCAATATACTCTGCCTTTTTCAAAACCTCTCTCACAATATCTTTCTTATCTAATGGTATACGTTCCATCTTACCTATAGGTATCTTTTCTTTTAACTCTTTCAATATATTGTTTGTGTCTGGAATATGTTTGAGACGGTCCATATAGTTGTCGAAGTCATTGCATATAATCTTTGAGTCAGGAAATACGGTATGACATAAATGAGATATATAGAAACTTCCACCGAACAAATCTACAAATGTTAGACCATTCGGTAGTTTCTTAAGTTCTCTCAATAGAATATCTTTACATCTACTCTTATTTCCAAAGAAGGGTAACGGTGGTTTTGTAAAATTCATTTTATATATATAATAAAAATGTTTTTTCCTGAAAAGTGACAGAAAAGTGACAAAACATGAAAACATATATATTTTGTGAAAAGCTCCTGGAAGACCCGTATATAAGAACTTCATTTATACTAAACATCTTCGGGGCTAGAAGGGGCGCAGCCCCTGGAAGCCCCAATACCTTTTTTTTTTTTTTTTTTTTTTTTTTTTTAAATTTCACTTAAAAGAAATAACTCTTGTTAAGACAGGCTTAACAATAACGTTAAGACTTCTCAATGAGTTACTTGAAAAGCGCTCCATGGATTGTGTAGGAATTGAAGAACTTGAAGCGCGTCTGCGTCGATAAATGGAGCAACGCAAAATATCGTCAATAGTTAAACTATTACTTTCTTTGCATTGTAAGCAGCAAGATACCATCATCGCTATTTCAGTTGGTATTGATGAAGGATATTTTACATTGGCAAAATTCCTGGATTTTGCATCCTTCTTTGTCATGTAAAGATCTGATATTAGTAATCCGGTAAGCATGTAATAAAATGTTTCGCCTAAACTCCAAATGTCATCTAATTTCATCTTCTGAAACTCTGATTCTGAAACTTCAGAAGCAGATACTGCATTACTAAAATCACATATACGGATATGATTGTAACGGTCGATAAGGAACTTAGATGGGCGAATGTTCCCATGACAGAATTTTTTATCATGCAAAATTTTTAAGGATTGAAGCATCTCAAAAGAATATTGGATAAACTTTTGTTCAGAAATGACACCTTGAACGGTCACTAGACGGTAAAGATCAACAGGGCAATAGTCCATAAGGATGTAGACGTATTTTTCACGATACCAGTACCTATAGATATTGATAATGTTTGTATGGTAGAAGTTCTTAATAACATCCGTTTGCCTTTCTTCAAAATGTCTTACGTCAACCCTCTCCAAAGAATACAATTCTCTGTATTTGTTCCATTGGACAAGGAACACTTTACCGTATTTTGTATCACAAATGACTCTCTTGAAGGTTAGGCCTTCTTCATTCATGGTTTGCATATCCACGTCGTTCATTCTTGCTTTAAAATAAATGCTATTAATTTTGAATCCTATTGAAAAGTATGAAAAGACGTAAAATAAATTGAATGTTAAAACTGCGCGATTTGTGAACTTGTAAAGAAGTCTTGGAATGCTAGGAATATTTAGCATGACATAATATCATTCTTGCATTTAGAGTTGAAAATGATAATTTTGATCCCAACGTGTTCGAAAAAAATTCAGAGCATTTTATTCTTCTTTTGAAATTCATTTAAAATATAAATCGTAAAATTAGATTCCGATACATATTTACTATCTAATTCTATCAACTTTTTATACTCATTTCAAAATAATGTTAAAAATAAATTTTTACTATTATATTTATTTATAAATAATTAGCATGCATTTAACTGATTTTTGATAATTCAATTATTCAGAATGTTATTCTTCTGAAATAATACTCGTCACGATGATAATCACTTTATAACTAGATAAAACACAATTCCAAAAAAGAAAAATTAATTTAAAAAGTTCTTTGAACTATTTGCCATGTTATAGACCGAAAATAGATTTTTTCGGTTTTCTCTTCAAATAATTGAAAGAATGATACTATTATAGGTTTATTATATTATATAGCATATAATCATGCTATAGCCGAAAATTATAAGTTTTTAGAAGATTGAATATAACACAAATAAATTTGAATGTAAGTTAAATTGCTTGTTGTTTTTAATAGCTATTTAATGAGAAATCCAATATTGCAAAATTCAATTTGAATGATTGAAAGAACAGAAAAAGTCATTCTTTTCAATTTCGAATATGTTTCATTGTATTTATATTATATGGCAAATAAGATATTCAAACTTGATTTTTTGAAAGGAAAATTCACAAAATTGAATAAATTCAAATAATTTTTATTCAAAAATAAACTAGTTATTTGAGTTTAATACTAATTATCTATTCAAACAACAAAGTTTGTAATTTAAAATATTTTGTGAGATCAGATTGAATTAATTCAAGGTTCTTTTTCAATTAATATTAATGACCATATTACGCATTTCGAACATTCTAAACCAAATATATAAAAATGGGAGACGAATGTTAAAATTTTCTAGACATAAAGAAGTTGTTTACCGAGTTTTAGCTCTTATCTCTAACAAAAATTAATTTTTAAAAAATGACCGAATACGTTTCACAGCGAGAAAAAATAAAAGGCAAGATAGAATTTTCTAGACATAAAGAAGTTTACCGAGTTTTAGCTCTTATCTCTAACAAAAAATTAATTTTTAAAAAAAAGACCGAATACGTTCACAGCGAGAAAAAAATAAAAGGCAAGATAGAATTTTCTAGACATAAAGAAGTTGTTTACCGAGTTTTAGCTCTTATCTCTAACAAAAAATTAATTTTTAAAAAAAATGACCGAATACGTTTCACAGCGAGAAAAAAATAAAAGGCAAGATAGAATTTTCTAGACATAAAGAAGTTGTTTACCGAGTTTTAGCTCTTATCTCTAACAAAAAATTAATTTTTAAAAAAATGACCGAATACGTTTCACAGCGAGAAAAAAATAAAAGGCAAGATAGAATTTTCTAGACATAAAGAAGTTGTTTACCGAGTTTTAGCTCTTATCTCTAACAAAAATTAATTTTTTTAAAAAAAGACCGAATACGTTTCACAGCGAGAAAAAAATAAAAGGCAAGATAGAATTTTCTAGACATAAAGAAGTTGTTTACCGAGTTTTAGCTCTTATCTCTAACAAAAAATTAATTTTTAAAAAAAAGACCGAATACGTTTCACAGCGAGAAAAAAAATAAAAGGCAAGATAGAATTTTCTAGACATAAAGAAGTTGTTTACCGAGTTTTAGCTCTTATCTCTAACAAAAAATTAATTTTAAAAAAAAGACCGAATACGTTTCACAGCGAGAAAAAAATAAAAGGCAAGATAGAATTTTCTAGACATAAAGAAGTTGTTTACCGAGTTTTAGCTCTTATCTCTAACAAAAAATTAATTTTTTAAAAAAATGACCGAATACGTTTCACAGCGAGAAAAAAATAAAAGGCAAGATAGAATTTTCTAGACATAAAGAAGTTGTTTACCGAGTTTTAGCTCTTATCTCTAACAAAAAATTAATTTTTAAAAAAAGACCGAATACGTTTCACAGCGAGAAAAAAAAATAAAAGGCAAGATAGAATTTTCTAGACATAAAGAAGTTGTTTACCGAGTTTTAGCTCTTATCTCTAACAAAAAAATTAATTTTTTAAAAAAAATGACCGAATACGTTTCACAGCGAGAAAAAAATAAAAGGCAAGATAGAATTTTCTAGAATAAAGAAGTTGTTTACCGAGTTTTAGCTCTTATCTCTAACAAAAAATTAATTTTTAAAAAAAAAGACCGAATACGTTTCACAGCGAGAAAAAAATAAAAGGCAAGATAGAATTTTCTAGACATAAAGAAGTTGTTTACCGAGTTTTAGCTCTTATCTCTAACAAAAAATTAATTTTTAAAAAAAAGACCGAATACGTTTTCACAGCGAGAAAAAAATAAAAGGCAAGATAGAATTTTCTAGACATAAAGAAGTTGTTTACCGAGTTTTAGCTCTTATCTCTAACAAAAAAATTAATTTTTAAAAAAAGACCGAATACGTTTCACAGCGAGAAAAAAATAAAGGCAAGATAGAATTTTCTAGACATAAAGAAGTTGTTTACCGAGTTTTAGCTCTTATCTCTAACAAAAATTAATTTTTTAAAAAAAATGACCGAATACGTTTCACAGCGAGAAAAAATAAAAGGCAAGATAGAATTTTCTAGACATAAAGAAGTTGTTTACCGAGTTTTAGCTCTTATCTCTAACAAAAAATTAATTTTTTAAAAAAAAGACCGAATACGTTTCACAGCGAGAAAAAAATAAAAGGCAAGATAGAATTTTCTAGACATAAAGAAGTTGTTTACCGAGTTTTAGCTCTTATCTCTAACAAAAAATTAATTTTTAAAAAAAAGACCGAATACGTTTCACAGCGAGAAAAAAATAAAAGGCAAGATAGAATTTCTAGACATAAAGAAGTTGTTTACCGAGTTTTAGCTCTTATCTCTAACAAAAAATTAATTTTTAAAAAATGACGAATACGTTTCACAGCGAGAAAAAAAATAAAGGCAAGATAGAATTTTCTAGACATAAAGAGTTGTTTACCGAGTTTTAGCTCTTATCTCTAACAAAAATTAATTTTTAAAAAAAAGACCGAATACGTTTCACAGCGAGAAAAAAATAAAAGGCAAGATAGAATTTTCTAGACATAAAGAAGTTGTTTACCGAGTTTTAGCTCTTATCTCTTAACAAAAAATTAATTTTAAAAAAAAGACCGAATACGTTTCACAGCGAGAAAAAAATAAAAGGCAAGATAGAATTTTCTAGACATAAAGAAGTTGTCTACCAAGTGTCAGCTGTTTCTTCTTTTTCAATACTGATATAAAAAAAAATCTTTATTATTTATTTAACCTTTATTGTTTCATTAAACTTCATTTATTTTATATTATAGTTTTATTCTTTTAGCTACTTGTAAAATAATCTAATTTTATATCATCATTTTACCGGATTATTCTTCAGTACATCGATTGTGTATCTAAAATAATATCATTATCCTTATTCTGTTTTTTCCAAAATTCTTTTAAATATCTTTTTTGGTTAGATTACTTTATACTTTTTACTTTTATTTTTTAATTCCAAAAAAAAAATTTGGTGATTGTTCTATTCTGTTACAATGTGCATTATCATATTCTAATGAATTATTCATTACATACATTTAAAAAAACTTGTTAAAAATGAAATTAAAAAATTATGTTTATTATTACGCTGTGAATGTGTCAACAGCGGTCATGCCTGTATCTGTATCCCATATTTGCCACAACCTTTCTGTATCTGCATTTGTGTATTTCGGTTTCAGCTGATACATTTGATTTGGCGTGTAATTTGTTCCAGTTAATGGATTAATTGGGAGATCTTCATGCGGTGTGTTATTATTGTACTCCCAAATAAAGGCAGGAATAGCCTGAATGCTTTGGCAGCGCTCCAATGTCGGTCAGAATCTCTCAATCTTCCCATTTTGGTAGGGAAAATGAGAGTCTGTATGCCGCCATTGGACGCCCCAAAGATCAAGTAGATCTTGAAAGGCGCCCCTATTTTCTGAACCGTTGTCGGTCCAGAAACAATAAGGGGCGCCAAATTCAATGAAGGCGGAAGCCGCAACGTTCGCTGTCGTCGCTGCCAGCATATCTGGTATTTGTATACACGCTAGGACTTTGCGGCTAAAATCGTCGATTATGCCATAAATATACTGGCCACGAACACCCCTAAAATAATGAACATCTGCGTGCCAGATAAGATTGGGTGAAAGCGCCCAATATCTTACTGCTGTTTCTGGCCCGGCATGCTCTAATCGCGTCTTGGTGAAATGATTTTCTTTGAAGTATCTGCGTACTTCTCTATAAGATACATCAATTTGTTGTAATTTCAAACGTTTCCATTGTTTTGTTTGACCACAGGGAAAGGCCCAGTGGTCATGTATCACAGCAAGAGCTTTGATTTGGTCGTAGGGATTGGCCCTACAACCTTTCTTGCCTTTAGGCAATGGGATATTCTGTAAGCTAAATTGATTTTGTAAAAAAGATTTTGAAACATCTAAATATTTGAAATCATTTGATTGAAGGGTTGGGGCGATGGGAACATGGGTGCAAGCTTCTTCCCATGTCATTTTACCTTCTTCAATCTGATTGGAAATACCAATTAGGTAAATTCGATCGACATACCCTTTGTAAGGATTCATTCTAATGAAGTACGTTAACAATCAAAATATTCTATAAGTGTCTAGTATGGAATTCAAAAGAATAAAGAAAATGGTAACGTAAATAAACGTATTATGAAATAATTTATAATTAAAATGAAAAAAAGAAAAAATAATAAGTAAAGTGACTGGAAATGAAAATTAAAATCAGTGTACAGTTTTATTTTTTTCTCGCTGTGAAACGGGGAGGTTTTTTGTGAT